CCGAGGATCTTCGGGTTATTCACCATCGGAACTGGTTCGTCATCGACTTGAATACCCAGTTGCAGTCTGACTTCCTTCGTCCAAGTGGTAAAAAGCGTTGCTGAGGAGAAAGCTCGGCGAGATAACCGTTTACTTTCGATTATCGAACAATCATCAGCATAAGAGACAATCGAGACTCCCTCTGGTGGTTGAGGGAGCTTTGTAATGTAAAAGTTAAACAGTAGCGGGGAAAGGACATCACCCTGTGGAACCCCCTGTTTTATTTTCCTGAGTTTGCTCGATTTGTCTCTAAACATTACCGACGAGTGTCGACCACTCAGATAATTCTATATCTTCTAGTAGCGTGGAGTGGCTGACGGTGTCAAACGCCTTTGACAGGTCCAACGCTACTAGAATAGTTCTCTCACAGGGACGGTTACGGTTAAGGCCACGTGTTATCTGAATGTTTATGGCGTTAAGTGCTATTGTTGTACTGTGCACTTTACGGAACCCATGCTGATGCTTCGCTGGGGTCAGGTGGTTCGTGAAATACGGGAGTAGCAAGGGCTCTAGTGTCTTCGCTACCGGGGAAAGGAGTGTTATCGGTCGATAAGAATCTCCTTTGTTGGCTGGTTTCCCCGGTTTGAGCAGTGGGACCACTTTCCCCACATTCCCGATGTCAGGGATGATGAGAGTGGTCATTGACAAATTGAGGACCTCCGTTACGTACGCTACTTCCGCAGGACCCAAATTTTTCAGCAGCAACATGCATATTCCGTCGGGACCCATGGCTGTGGAGGCTTTCGCCTTCCCGATGGCCACCTGAACTTCACCGCAAGTGAAAGAAAGGGGGGCACAAGTTGTTGGCGGTTTGTGCAGCCTTCTGGTCACTCGGCGCTTGGCTTTGTCCACCGGAGGATGCAGTATGAACTGCCGGCTAAAATAGCACGCGTATCGCTACGGATCCGACGAAGCATGGTCGCCGAAAGAAATTTCGACCCTGTCGTCGTGCTTCCTCGGGTTGGATAGTGACCTTACGGTTGACCAAAGCTTACTCACACCAGAGGTGAAGTTACAAGTCTTCAGATGCTCTTCCCACTTCTTCCGCTTATGTACGTTCACTAGTTGCCGAATCTCCGCGTTGAGATCCCTGATACGGGGATTTCCGGGATCGGCCTGATGAAGGCTGTGACGCTCACAGCCGCTTCAGCAGGAAAATTTGAACGTGGGTCCGTAATGCATCCAGCCGGTATGAAGCGAGCTGCAGCAGCAGTGACAGCCCTGCGGAACTTACGTTCACCAAGGTGGACGTCGGTTGGTGTGGGGAGCGCAGCGAAGGTGCTCTCAGTTGATATATGTCCGGTGTTCCGCGGAAGCAAAGTCGTTTGGTTTACCAATCGAGATGACTATGGGCAGATGGTATGATGCCAAAGTTAAAGCGCAAACAGTCAACGACGTAGCGTAGGTGGGTGCGTCGTCGTTCATTGTGTAGAATGTCGAATCGTCTATCTGCTCAGCCAAGTCTGTTCCCCTACGATCGTTTAACAGGCTTGAGTGCCAAAGACCGTGGTGCGCATTAAAGTCGCCTACTACCATACGGTTTTCACCTCTGAGGAGCGCACATATATCAGGGTGATATCCTGCTGGGCAGCAAGTGACAGGGGGTATGTACACAGTAAATATTTCGAGCTCAACATCGCCTGACCGGATAGCAATCCCTGATATTCTAGGGTGGTATCCCTGCGGTCGATGTCTGCTTCAATAAGACGATACTGCACGGTGTGGTGCGTGATGAATGCTAAACCACCACTATTATCTCGCTCGCGATCTCGACGGTGCACGTTGTACCCGGCACAATTCAACAATGTTGAATTGCTGTGCATTTTCGTCTCTTGGACCGCAGCTATCAATATACCATGCCTTCCCATGAAGACGGTTATCTCCTCGATCTTGCTCTGAAGTCCGTTACAGTTAAATTGAAGGAGCTTCATGTGGTTCGGGAGACGTGTTGTTATGCGGGGTGTGAGGGATGTGTGTGGCCTTGCCGCCATTGGCTGTGTGCGCTGCTGTGGAGGTTGCCGCCCTGTGGTGATAGCGGGTGGCGTCGCAGTTGGGGTTTGCGACCGAGCAGCGCAACACGAGCCCTCGAAGTTCCCCGTCCAATCTCGCGTGGTGCGCAGACCTGAACATGACCTAAAGTGGCACCAGCCAAAGCAGGTGTTGCACTTGACTGCTGTGGTGTTTGTGTGGAGCTGCTCAGGTGGACTGGGGTTAGCCGTGGAGGCTGCTCTGTTTGAGCAGCAGGGGGCCACAAACGATGTGGTCCACTGCNTGATATATGTCCGGTGTTCCGCGGAAGCAAAGTCGTTTGGTTTACCAATCGAGATGACTATGGGCAGATGGTATGATGCCAAAGTTAAAGCGCAAACAGTCAACGACGTAGCGTAGGTGGGTGCGTCGTCGTTCATTGTGTAGAATGTCGAATCGTCTATCTGCTCAGCCAAGTCTGTTCCCCTACGATCGTTTAACAGGCTTGAGTGCCAAAGACCGTGGTGCGCATTAAAGTCGCCTACTACCATACGGTTTTCACCTCTGAGGAGCGCACATATATCAGGGTGATATCCTGCTGGGCAGCAAGTGACAGGGGGTATGTACACAGTAAATATTTCGAGCTCAACATCGCCTGACCGGATAGCAATCGCTGATATTCTAGGGTGGTATCCCTGCGGTCGATGTCTGCTTCAATAAGACGATACTGCACGGTGTGGTGCGTGATGAATGCTAAACCACCACTATTATCTCGCTCGCGATCTCGACGGTGCACGTTGTACCCGGCACAATTCAACAATGTTGAATTGCTGTGCATTTTCGTCTCTTGGACCGCAGCTATCAATATACCATGCCTTCCCATGAAGACGGTTATCTCCTCGATCTTGCTCTGAAGTCCGTTACAGTTAAATTGAAGGAGCTTCATGTGGTTCGGGAGACGTGTTGTTATGCGGGGTGTGAGGGATGTGTGTGGCCTTGCCGCCATTGGCTGTGTGCGCTGCTGTGGAGGTTGCCGCCCTGTGGTGATAGCGGGTGGCGTCGCAGTTGGGGTTTGCGACCGAGCAGCGCAACACGAGCCCTCGAAGTTCCCCGTCCAATCTCGCGTGGTGCGCAGACCTGAACATGACCTAAAGTGGCACCAGCCAAAGCAGGTGTTGCACTTGACTGCTGTGGTGTTTGTGTGGAGCTGCTCAGGTGGACTGGGGTTAGCCGTGGAGGCTGCTCTGTTTGAGCAGCAGGGGGCCACAAACGATGTGGTCCACTGCCGATGTGTCCGTAGTCCTGAGCAGACTCTGAGGTGACTCCACCCTTCGCAAGCATTGCACTTGACTGCGGTGGAGTTGTGGTGTAGTCGGCTCTGGCATACACAGCAGGTGTAAGTTTCTGCCCTGGGTTTGACTCGATGCCAGCCCTGAGCGGAAGAATGTAGCGAATGTAGCTCTATGGACGAACAACTTCTGAGTTACTTCGCCGACCTAAACGGGGTTAGATTGCCATTCCCACAACAGCCGGTTCTACGTACTGGAATGACTCGGGTTTTACCCGACCAAGGGCTGTTCTTTCGGCAATCTAACCCCGTTTAGGTCGGCGGAGTATCTTTCAACGTGGTCTTAATGCTTGCCTTACCACCATTAGCAATTTTCCACATATAATACAATGCGCTTCATGATCATTTTTGCCATTTTGTATATGCATAACCTAAGGATAATTATGGTAGGCTGTCTGAAGTGAAGCCATTCTAAAAGACTGAAAATAAGGACTGAAAAAAGTGCTTCCCTGCATGCTTCCTAGAAGAGGGTTCCCTATTTACAATTTACGCGAATGTACTTAAGTATATCTTTATATTATTTAACATTATAAATAGGATTCAATAAGCATTTCAAGTCTCAATTAGAAATATTTGATCTGAACCTTAAATATTTAAATTCCTTAAAGAAGTATGATTTTTATGAACTAAAAACAGCATCAAAAGGCCTCTTATACAAAAAAAAAAATTCAAAACCAATAACTTACTTATTAAAAATGTTTTTATTTTGGCTTAAAATTATTGTAACCAATAGAAGTATGTTGTACAAAAACACATAAACAGAAGTTCACAAAAGTTCATATACAACTTTTCGTCGATTTAAATAGTTAACTTTTTACTGCGAATGTTCATTTTACGAAGAGGAAGCATCGAAAGAATAACCCCGTCAGTGTGAGACTTTAACCCAAACTAAACTTCCTAGCATCATTTACCGTTCCCCTCTCGGTACCACCGTCGAGGATTTCGTCGGGATTATAACACTGTGTGACTGCTAAAGTTATAGATCTATTTTCTTCTTCGATGTTCGCCGAGTTCAACAAAGCACGCCAGTCGTTTCTTTTCTGTGCCAATTGTAAATGCCAAGTGAAGCCGAGTCCTTCTTCACCTATCGCAGTGGGGGCCTCCCTCTTCCTCTACTACAACCAGGGGGTTCGAGCTGATACTTTCAGAGCTGGAGTGCCGGTGTCCATTCGAACGACATGGCCAAGCCAGCGGAGCCGATGTGTTTTCATTCGCTGCACTATGTCCATGTCGTTGTAAAGCTCATACAGCTCATCATTCCACCGTCTGCGGTACTCGCCGTCGCCAACGCGTAAAGGCCCGTAAATCTTCCGCAAAATCTTTCTCTCGAACACTCCAAGAGCCGCCTCATCGAACAAGCATTTCCTAGTACTATTTTTGAATATCTAGGAAAAAATTTGGAAGTTATGGGGGGCTAAAAATTATATGGGTGTCTTCATTCACCTTCATTAAAAAACCAGGACAATTTAAGTGTGGACCAGGACACCAGGACAATTTGTTTAAATCAGGACAAATCATGGAAAACCAGGACGTCTGGCAGCCCTATTCTAGGTACTTTGTTTTATACCTGTTACTTTGCATTTTATTAGAATCGTACGATTTGTCCCCTACCAACGTGTTATCTTCACCAAATGACACATGTAAATATATTTAAGAAAATAGATACATATTTTATTTTGAGACTTTGGTAAAGTTAAAAATTGTTAGATAGCCTTAAGAGAAAGAAGTACATTGAAGATAAAGTTCAAAAGGTAGATACAGGCTTTTTAATTAAACCTAATAATTTCTTTTATAAACATGTATATGTTGCAATGCTATTTATCGGTAAGAACATATGTGTGCTTGAGACAAAATGCAGTAATAAAGTTATCTTGTTACCCTACAATTACATAATTAATACTATAAAATGTGTTATAATTCTTATACTGAGTATGTTTGGCACAAATTGTTAATACTCTTTCCACCAGCAACTTGAAACAACGGTATACTCCTCGCAGGACCCGTATATTCGTCATTTTTGCTGGGAAGCATGCTCCTGCTATGAATTGATGGCAATGGTTTGCCCCAAAACTTTAAATTTTTTAAGGTGTTGTAATACGCTATCCTGAAAAAAATTAATAATTTAGTTGGAAATTGTAAAGCTATCAACAATTTATAATAGATATGGGGCTTCCTTTTTTAAATCGGATGGATTTCGTAAAACACATCACGTCATATTTTCAATTGGCTTCTAAATTTTTTACGGGTTCTATACATGAAAGAGCCTAACACGTATTCGAGGAAGTATTCATTTTCCTTCTATCAAAGTTTGATATTTTCGTGATTCTGACCCATCATCTACTTCTTCAAATACGTCTGTCAAGTTAGCACAACACTTTTCTAAATTGGAAAAGTTAACTATGGCATTCATTGCAGCTTTCTTGCTGTAGAAAGAAAAAATTTGTACCTCTCATTATTTTTAAATATGGTATGAGTGCTAACTTGACACCATACACCTAGTCGATAAAATTGAGATATTGAAATGTTATAACGGCATTAATTGTAGATTTTTTGTTGTAAATTTGTTGTGGAAAGAAAAAATTTTTTGCTTTCGTTTTTTAGGAAAAAATGGTATGTAGTGCTAACTTGACACCATACACCTAGTCGATAGAATTGAGATATTCAATATGTTACTAAGCCATTAATTGTAGCTTTTGACTTAAAAATTTGTTGTGAAAAGAAAACATTTTTAGCTTCCGTTTTTCTAGAAAAAATCGAGTTCACCGTTTTTCGAACAAAATTTAGTATGTAGTGCTAACTTGACACCATGCACCATTGACGGCAGAATTGAGATATTTAAAAGGTTATAACGGAATTAATTGTAGCTTTTTTGCTGTAAACTTTTACAATATGTTACTACTATGCCATTAATTATAGCTTTTTTGTTGTAAATTTGTTGTGGGTAGAAAAAATTGTAGCTTTCGTTTAAAAAAAAAAATGGTATGTAGTCAGGGATGCCAACGCATTTTATCTTTNTTGTAAACTTTTACAATATGTTACTACTATGCCATTAATTATAGCTTTTTTGTTGTAAATTTGTTGTGGAAAGAAAAAATTGTAGCTTTCGTTAAAAAAAAAAAATGGTATGTAGTCAGGGATGCCAACGCATTTTATCTTTCTCCCCGTTGGCCATCGCGAAATTCCCCGATTTTCGGTGAAATTCCCCGCACTGGTATAATTCTATTAAATTAACTCAAAGATTTTAATTCAATTGTACATACAATATTTAAATGTGAAATTTTTCAGTAAGTTAGGTAAGAGTGGCTGCCCCTCACAGAGCGCGGAGCACACGTGGGCTGGAAAAGCCCGTTGTGATACCACTGGCCGAAGCCATTTGTTCCTTTTCCTCTCTTAGTAATTGAACCACCGAGGTTGTTTTATATAGGACGTTCGCCGAGTTCAAAATTTTTTAACTTTTTACTCGAAATTTTTAGAAGCCATTTTAATTTAATTAAAAAATTAATAATAACTTGCACGTTTGAAATTTCTAAAAGTTACCGTTGATTTTTGATATTTTTTTTGCTGGGGCCCTTGAATTCAATTGCCTGAATTTATTAACGAATGTACATACAATGTTTAAGTGTTAAATTTGTTCACTAATTTCTCATAAAAATTTTTCAAGTGGATGGTAAATATTTTTTTTCGTCAGTGGAGCCCACACATAGTGCCTTGCTAAGGGAGCCGATTTTGTCAAGAGGGAGCGAAAAACATTTTTCTGAGCAAACCTTTTATTATTGAATCATGGATCTGTTTTTCTTTTAGTAATCTTTGTACATATATGTCAATTGTCTGATTTCGGTCAGAAATATACCAGTCTCATACTAGTTCAAAATAGACAGAAAAATGCTAGTCCAGTTATGGACCAAAACCACTACTTTGGAAGTCAAAAAATAAAATGAATTCATGAATATACAATACAAAACTTTTGATTTAGTGCACTTTAATGCATTACATATTTTTATTTAGCAGCCTTAGATTTGCCCATAATTAGTGTTAAATTTTTTGAGTATTGATTAAAAGGATAAATAAATACATAAATATTACAAAGTTTCCAACGTAAATTTAAATGCATTTTCCATTAAATGATACTAAAAGTAACAGCTTTCAAGTACAATAAATACTATATTTTATCTTTTTTAATAATATTGAATACGGAAAAGAAGACACTTTAGTTAAAAATAAAACGAATACTCTAATTCATTTTTGAGTGAACTAAAATAAAAGTAAAAGTTTTCATTAAAATAAATTAAATTCATTAACTTTCCTTTCTTTTTGAAATATTTTAAAAGTAATAATTAATGTTTAAAATTTGAAATTTGGATAATAACAAAAAAAAATAAATAATTCAACCAGTTATTAAATATTCCTAATTTTCGTCTATACTTTGGCTTGTTGATTGCTAATTGAAATTAATCAAATATTTATATTAGTCGTGTAATTAAAAAAGTAAAAAATAATTGAAAATCATCAAAAGTAACAAAATAATGATGTAATTAAAATTAACGAACTAATTAAAAAAAAATTCGTTTGAGTAATTAATTATTAATCATTAAAAAGGTGCTAATATCGGTATTTCATCATTAAACGGTTATCCAAAGAAACATGCTTTAATTAATAATCATTGTGAATATTAATCATTATTTCACAGGTACGGTATAATTGCGAGAACGTACTCGCTTTAACGGTTTACAATATACCCAAATAAAAGTTACAATATTCTGTGTACTCTATTGTATTAAACTGTCGAAGTCAAATTAAACCGGGCATGAATAAATCGTTTTGTACTTGATAAAAGTCTTGTAATTTTCGAACTAGTTCGGTTTCAGTCAGGAAATTCTAGTTGTAAACTAGTATTTTTATTAACTAGTTTGTTGTTTCACTGCAGGGTATGTACATATGTACCGTTCGTTCGATTTTAGAAAATGAGGTATCAAATTAAAGGGCTTGGCCTGTGGATGTGCATTAACTTCTTATTTTTTCAAAAATAAAAATATTAAATTCAAATTATTTTTAAGTTAAATCAATTATGACACTATGAGTATCGATCGAAATGGTTTTGAAAAGGCTTTATTTTTTAATCATATGTAGGCGGGTTGCCACCGGTTTCAAAAAGCAAGTTCGACTTAAGTAAAGGCAAAAAATGTAAATGTATATCCTGATATGGATGTTTGAATATTTAGAATATTAAAGGGGGTTGCCACCTGTTTAAAAAGGTAAACTCAAATTATTTAATAAGTTAAAGCAATTATTAAAAATAAGGGTATCAAAGGGAGTTGGAGCAAGCGAGTCCGTATCCGTGCTTATTTTTATCGTTTCTTTGATTTTAAAATGCCCTGTGCTTGTGGTCAGAAAGTTCACCGCGGTTTGCCAAAAGTTCGGTGTGAGAAATGTAATGAATATTTTTATTTATCATGTGTCAATTTATCGCAAACTGATGTTGATTTTCTGCAAAAAACCAATCGTGCGTTTTATTGTGCAATGTGTACCAAAAAACGTCGAAATTCTATTTGCTCGCCCCCTACATCTCACCCAACAACACAGCTACTAGCGAGTGCTGATGACTCTCGCGCTACTGGTGCTGAACAAAAACAGCAGTCGCAGTGTGAGAATTCAACTAGTGAACTTCAGTTACAAAAACAACAAAAAATCGATCACACGAAGTGTACAGAATTGGAATCAATGTTAGAAACTGTGCTTTCTGAAGTGGCTGGGCTTAGAGCCGAAAATGCACGAGTGTTCTCTCTGCTGCAACTCTGTCCGATGATAAAAGCATATTGCTCAAGAAAGTTGATGACCTCCGAGCTGAGCTTCGTACTATGCAGAGCACGTTACTCAACAACACTGCTCCAACTATGGATGCTGCTGCTGCGGGTGCGCAAACATCTGAGGTTACCCATACACCTGCTGCTGCTGGCATTTCTGCCGACGATGATATCTCCGCGGCTGACCCTTCTGCCGTCACTCTTGTTAATGCTGCTGCTAAGATTGCCGTTTTGCCGCCGACCGCTGACATGACCACTTCTCCTTCTGGTTTAGTGTCGTCTCAGTTGACTGCTCCCCTGCTACCTTCATTCGCTAAATCTCTCATCGATATTTCCGATGTAAATTCTAATAATGTGATAATATAATTTCGCCTCAACGCAATTCTGAGTGGATTTCCGCGGACAGAAGACAAAGTAACATTATAAATTACGTCGCTAAACATGCTGCGATTGATAAAAATCTGTTGGCTTGCTATAAATTGGTGAAGAAGGATGTGCAGTCAGCAACATTAAAATGGGTAAACTTTAAGCTTGGCGTCCCTGTGTCAGTTTTTGACAAGATTCTAAATTCGGACCTTTCGCTTTTTTCCCGCGAATTCAGATGCCCGCTGATGCCGTAACTGAATCCAGCGCTAGTAATAAATGCCTAAGAATTTACTTTCAAAATATTTCAGGCCTTCGGACTAAATGTTCGACTGTGTACTTACGTAGTTCTTCCCTAGAGTTTGATATTTTTGTTTTTGTGGAATCTTGGCTGAATGATAAATTTTTCGATTGTGAAATTTTTGATACTAATCTTTATGATGTAAAGACCGTGACTGTGTCAAAACCGGATGTTCCAGAGGTGGTGGTGTTCTCATTACCCTGTAGGGAAACGAACTAGTGCGGAACTGGTTCGGTTCTAGTGCGTTTGGAACCATGACTAGTACGCGTTAATTCTGTTTTGCATGCTAGCGACTGGCGAATTTAACATTGCGATGTCCTAGGAAGTGTCCGTGTTCCGAACCAGTTCTAAATTCGACAGATATGATCTAGTTCGTTTTGGATCGCCTTTTCTATAGTTCCGAACCAGTTCCAAATTCGACAGATGATATCTAGTTCGATCTGCATCCATTTTTTATAGTTCCCGACCTGTTATAAATTCGTCACCTTAGATCTACATTTCTAATCATGCTTGTCGAAACATTTCCCTTTTATGTTAAATACGATCGGTTGAAGGAAGGACAATACCATCACAAATGTTTAAACGCACTTATTAAAAATTTATAAACCACATTAGTAGTAGTAGTAGTATTAAACTTAA